CAAACAAACAATTTAAGTTTAAAAAATGACCACAAAGAGGCAGGAAACAAAAACACGAAGAGTCATGTTTGTTTGTTTTTGTTTATTTGTTTAGAGGGGTTGGGGGATTCTCCTGAATCGTCTTCACTTCTTCTGAGTTGGGATTTTACCGTGTCTTAGCGTCTGAAGCTGTCATCAACCGCTGTGTGGAAAATGACGTATCCAGGACTCTCGAGACTGAAATAAATAATTTTATTTTCATGTTTTTCTCTTCTTTGACTTTCCGATAATTATTCTTTCGACTGCTCCGTTTCGGTGTCTCCACATTAGACCGTCTGCTTCCAGTTACCTCAGCATCCTCCTCTGTCACACCAACCCCCTGCTTGTCCTTCATTCCATCCATGAATCTTCTCCGAGGTCTTCCGTTCGTCCCTGCTGCCTGAGAGCTCCAGTGTATCCTCCTCCCTCCTCTGCACAGGTCCAAACCATCTCAGCCTCGTCTCCTCAGCTTTATCTCCATTTTATTCTGATAAAATGGAGATAAAGCTTTCGTTGGACTTTGTGAGATTTCGAGGATGAGCTCAGCCACCGCGTCCTGCACAATCCAAAATACTGTATTTTAAACATTTGCCCCAAACTTTGAGCTCACTGACATCCTGAAAATAGTTCACAAACTAGTTTGAGACTAAAGTTTGATCACAAATTTATACATTTGAAGGACAAGGTCTGCGCATACAGAGAGGAGCCCCGCCCACACCTCACACCACTGTTTTGCTAAAAGACTCGTCAGACGCTGCAAACTGGTTCTGAGACAGGTGAGAATTTGACCTGCAGGAGCTCTCAGCGCCCTGCAGGACTCTTTTGTGCACACTGACATGTTTAGGGAGGCTGCAACAAATGCTGACCGCACCAACGTAGTACACATCTGTGACCACGCGTCCCTACCAGATGCGCTGAACAACGTCTATGCACGGTTTGATGCTCAGAATGATGTGTTGCTACGTTCTACAGTCGGACTATCGAGAGCGTCCTGAGCAGCTGCATCCCTGCCTGCTATGGTAACTGCACTGTATCGGATTGCAAGACCCTACAACTGATAGTGAGAGCAGCTGAGAAGATCATTGGAGCCTCTCTTCCCTCCATAACAGAGAGCTATCACACCCGCTCCATCTGCAAAGCCACCAGCATTGTGGAGGACCCCACACACCCCTCACACACACTCTTCACCCTGCTGCCTTCTGGCAAGAAGTACCACAGCATCACTGCATCACTGCCCGACTGAGGAACAGTTTCTTCCCCCAAGCCGTCAGACTCCTGAACACTCAGTGACACACACAGCCACACAAAGCCACTTGACTTGAGTTGACAATTTGTTGGATGAGCAGATAGCAACAAATAATCTTGGATTGTAGACTAAAATAAATGTGATCTTGGAAGATATCGAGTTACTGCAGTGCATCATGGGAGGATCCTCAGTGTCCAGGAGCAGAATGAAGCTGTGAGCTGGTGCAGTAAGCGCAGGACAGCAAACCTCAAACGAGTCTGCAGTCTACACACAACATGCGCAGCCTCTGCTGTTTACTGTCCTGTTATAAATATACAAGGCTGGCCGTGTGTGTGTTTGTGTGTGTGCTGGCTGCACAGCAGCCGCCTGTTGCAGAATAATTTAAACTGTTTATTTGATTTGGAGGACGGCCTACGCGGGGCTTCCACAATCTGGCTCTCCGTCAGGGCTAAAAGCGTCCGAGCTCTGCATCACGCCGTCTATTTTCAGCAGGCCTTCGCTTCCTGCTAATAAAAACAACACGTCGCTTCAGGAGAACTGTGGCGTCACACGCTGACCGCACACATGCTCGGCAGTATTTCTGGTGTGGAAGCGAGGCCTCCGTGTCACATTGTGAGTGGGTGGGTGTCAGGAGAAGTTTTTACAGACTGAAGGGAAGTGAGGAGGTGATCTGCGTGGGAGCGGGTGACATCTCCACGGACGGGTGGAGGGAGATCTCTGTGACTAGTTCGCTCACAGCCTGAGTGCACACTACAGTATTACTGAGGTGATAAAGAGTCAGCATGATGGTGGCTCCAGATCCTGTCCACATTATGTCATCAATGATCTGATTACAACTGCAAAACTCTGCAAAAGTCACTGCCAAACTCGACTGATGCACTCTGCAAAGGTTTAATGGAAACAGCTGATACAGGACCCACCAAAAAAGCCTGAATGACTACAAAAAGGTTCACAAAGTAATGAAAAATGGCCCTAAAAAGACACAAAATAATGCATGTAAAATTAAAATATGCTACAAAATTACCACAAAAGGGTCCATATCAACTCAGAATGAGCACAACAGACCCCCAAAATAAGAAACGTGCAAAATTATGACAAAAAAGATGGAAAGTAACAGAAATAAATTCTCCCAAAGAGCCAGCAGCTCATCCAAAACCCCACAACAACATCAAAATAGAAAAACCCACAAAAGATTGTCAGAAATATCTACAGTAATGCAGTAAAGTAGAAAGAAGATCAAATGCTCACAAATAGGTGTAAAAACAAAACTCCCCCAAAAAACTACACTTTGCGCGGAATTTGCTACAATGTTGCAAATTCCGTGCAAACAGCATCAAAACACAAACACACCAAAAAAAATTAAAATGAACACAATATAATTCAAAACAATCTCAAAATTGTGAGAAAAGGTAACAAATGTCTCAAAACTGCCACACAACAAAACACATCGGCCGTAAAATAATAAGACGACCACAGAGAAACTCTCAAATATACAAAATGACCAAAAACAAAACAACAAACACAAAGTAGCCGTGTTTGTTTCGCTCGGCACAAACTGTACGTAGGGCATTTAAAGGAACACACAGCAAACAGCATGACTGGTGTTTGTGAACTTTACGAATCCTTTTAGAGCATCGAAGCATGCAGTTTGGTTTGTGTCAGTTTGTTTTTCAGATTTACGGTCCTGGACGAGCCTCTGTAAACTCTCCATTTCAACCCTAAAACTGTACCTGACATATTTAAAACAGGTAAAAATCAGTTGGCTGTGGACAGTGAGCACCCTGACAGGATAACACATCCTGAAGAGGCTCGCCCACATCCTGTTTCTCTCTGGTTTGATGTCAGCAGTGAACACAAAGCCAAACGAATGCCTTTATCAGGGTGAATTTCCATAAAGTAGGCTGTGTGTGTGTGGGTGGGTGTTTCCCAGCAGAAAGATGCCCAAATGGGCTGCCTACGTCTTTATCATGAAATGCCAAACTCAACTAGTGAGTCACGCTTACAGATGAGTCACTGTTAGAGTTTCAGGACTAAAGTGTGTTTTTTACCCACAAAGATGTTATAATTTCATTAAAGTGTCCTCTTCCGTTTGGAGCAGAGTGACGAGGCGCATCCTCGTGCCCCAAACAGCTGAAGAGCTTCATCCCAAAATATGATGAATACAGCTGACACCCTCTCATGAGTGGGGTTATTATAGAGGTCCACGATCCTGCAGAGACAAAAAGGGGACGAGACAGCCGCAAACTCCAAACGGCCAAAGGTGGAGGGAAATGACCGTGAAGAGACACAAAACAGACAGGAAACACCTTTAAAATCACAAAAAAGACATAGAATGATTAAAAATGACCGGACATGATGCCGTGTGACTACTATTAACATAAAAATACTTCAAATGTCTACAGAAAGGCAAAAATGTCCACAAAGCCCAAAATCATGCAAAATGCCTGCAGGGAAACACTAAAGAACTCAGGAAAAATGCAAAAATGATTCAAAAGGGACCAAAAACAGATGCAAAACGAACACAAAACAAACAGAACACAACTTCAAATGACAGAAAAGATGCAAAACAATTACAGAAGCACAAAAAACTACAACATATCACATATAACACCAAAATGTGCAACAATGACCAGAACAGTCCCAACAAACACAAAATGTTGCAAAATGAGTGAAAAGAGGCAAAAATGAACTACAAACCTCATGAAAAATGTACCAAACACTCAATATAGACACAAAAGCTTGTTGTTCTGAGTATGATGAGCTGTGT